TTGAACTGATCCGTAGAATACGCATTCCCCTCCCTCTCAACCTTCTTTGCCCGCCGAATCATGGAAGGAATCAAATCAGCAGTAATACGTCCCGTCGGACTATGAACAATATCAACCTTGGCCCCAAACGCCGCCATGGTCTTGAGCTTCTCTACCGCAAAAGCGTTGGAGCTAGCCGGTTGGAACTTATAGCCCTTGACCGCGCAGACGAAGGCGAGCGAAGACCCCGTGCTGCCGCCTGTGGCCTCAACGACTTTCATCCCCGGCTTGAGAGCGCTTCTCTTCTCGGCCTCTTGTATGATGGCGGCGGCCATGCGGTCTTTGTGGGAGCCTGTCGGGTTGGTGTATTCGAGTTTGAGGTATACTGCGGCATGATTTGCGGGGACGAGTCGGCGGAGACGGACGAGTGGCGTTTTGCCGATTGCGGCGAGAGCTGTTTCTGATGCTTTTAACATCTTGTACGTTTCCTGGGGAGCTTATTTATGTCACGGATTTTGATGTTGGGCGAAGATGGTGACATGGGGATGTTGGCGAGGGGTTCTTGAGACTCAGCTGGGTGGGTCAATCCGGTGCACCCTACGCCCTTTTGAACCGGGTAAACATATCTAAAAACGCAAGAATGAGAGTTGGTTGAGCCTCATTACAAGAGCGTAGATGTAAGTAGTCCACTGCCCCATCAGGCAATTCTTAAGGTCTCATGATATCACATAGATAAGTTCCAAAAAGCAACTGAGATCTTTTGTTATCTTTGGTAGTGATTGGACTAAGGTAGGTCGCGATCCGGTCAACACGTCTTAGTCGTTGTGCCTTCTGACATGGGCGGAACGTGCGCTTCAATCCGCAAGTTCATGAATGACAAGCAGTGCGTCAACAATTATGCAATGCAATGAATAAGTGGATGATCTCGATCGACCAAAGTTAGAGTTAAATACGGATACCTTGTTGTGGTGGGTTGCTGAGGAGATTTCGCAATTCCCATGTCCGTCTAGGCCTACCTAGTAATTAAGCGATGAAAATGAAAATGAAAATGAAAATGTGACCGGTCACTGCGGGACGTTTGTCGAGGCGACGATTACGTGATCAATTAGAGGTCCATGCGTCCAACGGTTTTGGTCCCACCTGCTGCACAGTCTCGAACCCACCACAGCTGCGCGCGTCTCCGGGATGAGCTTGCTCCATCGACTGGCACACATCACGGCCCAGACAACCTTCACTTACAGACGAACTATTCCCCTGAACTTGTGCTCATTTCGTAGTCAATTCGGACTCACTCACCCTATTTTTCGACCCCGCGTGGCTTTCCTCACAATGCCCGCCGTCACCCGCAGTCTGAGGTCATCGACGCGCCTGGACAAGGCCGCCCCGCCAGCAGAGGAGAAGAAGCCATTGCCAGCGAAACCCAAGCCCACCTCCAAGACAGAAAAGAAGACCAAGAAGCAAGCTTCGCAATCTCCGCCTCCACCCAAGGCCACTGCAGGCCAAAAGAGAAAAGCAGCATCATCAACCGAGAAGGAAGAAGAGACCAAAGCCGAGGCTGTCGAGGACGAGGAGGACGAGCCGAAGCCGAAGGCCGCCAAGAAAGCCAAGGTAAGCTGAGTGAAATTACCCACCGGCTATCAAAATGAGCTGTTCCGTTTTTGGTTTCTTGGTCCTCATTTGCTTATGTATGAATAGAAGCCGGCGGCAGGGAAGAAGGAAGCGCCGCCAAAGAAGACAAAGGACGAACTCAAGGCCCTTCGCGATGCGCCTGTTCCGGACGTCAACTCCGAGGCGGAGCCACGGGATCCGCCGGGCCCGCGGTACTGGCTTATGAAGTCTGAGCCGGATGTCCGTATTGAGGATGGGTACGAGATCAAGTTCTCCATTGACGATTTGGCTGCCAAGAAGACGCCCGAGGGCTGGGAGGGTACGTTCATCTTCCTGGGCTTTCTGTGTAAGTGTGAAGCAAGTGATTGACGAAAAGTCCAGGTATTCGGAACTACGTCGCGCGAAATAACCTGCGGGGGATGCGAAAGGGCGACAAGGCCTTCTTCTACCACTCGAATTGTAAAGAGCCTGGTGTTGTGGGTATCATGAAGATAGCCAAGGAGCACTCGCCCGACTGTGTGTTCTCAACCCTTCCAGCCATGGTTGTTTGACTAACATGGCTGTCAGGGAACGCCTGCATTAATGACAACCCGTACTACGATGACAGCGCCCCGCACGACGGGAGCAAATGGAGCCTCGTCCACGTCAAAATCGAGCATAAGTTCCCTCGCATCGTGCCGCTGAGCCTGCTCAAGGAGTCGCGGGGTAACGGTCCGTTGCAGAACATGGAGCTGCTGAAGCAGTCTCGTCTCAGCGTCAACAAGGTTACGCGCGAGGAGTGGGATGAAGTCATCCGCATGGCCAAGGAGCTCGATGAGGACAAGGAGTGGGAAAAGACTGTCGAGGAGTCCAAGAAGTTTCCCAATTACTCGGCAGCATAGCGAAAGAGAAAGCGGGAAGAAAGGTTTTCCTTTTTGTGACCTTGTTTGATTAGGCTGACTGACTCTGCAAGTGGTATCAAGAATTCGGGATACTGGATACATCCCGCCGGGGGGGGGGGGCCGCTTCTAATTCCCAATGTGTTGCGCCGAAACCATTTTTTAATACCCATACTTCTTCCACCAATTTTTTGTACCAATATCCATGTATAGCAACAACGACGACATACCCACAGCAACATGGCAGGCTATGACCGCAGCTGATCTCTCGTGTGCTCCAAAACTGTCTTGATACCCTCGTCGAGACCCTTGAAGAGGAGCACCAGCTCGATCCACACCAGCGACTTGCTCTCCAGCGCGACCTTGTCGAACGTCTCGTCCAATCCCTTGCCCAGACGTGACAGAACCTCGCGGAGGCCGAGAGGAAACTCGGGCGTGTCGGGGCTGACGCCGACGAGGGGCAGGCGGATGTAGCAGTTCCACGTCGCCGGATGGGCGGCGTCCTGCTCCCTCATGACGTCGACGACGTGCTGGAGAATCTTGGACGCGGACGAGACCTTTGCAAAGGAGGCAAACATATCAAAGAAGCGCTCGGCCACCTCGGGGTTGTAAAAAGGCTGTTTTCTCGAAATGTCGAAAATAGCCATCGGTATGGCGCCGTCCAGAGCCGGGTTGTGCTTGAGCGCCTTGCTCTCCTCCTCGTCGATCGCCTTCTTCTCCTTGCCGGGCACGGGGAGGCTCAAAACATCCTCATCCTCGTCTTCGTCCTCCTCGTCGTCAATGAGCTTGATTTCGTCGTCGTCGTCCATCTTCTCGCCGGCCAGCGGGTTCTCCTGCTCGGCCTTCTTCTTGCTGCCGCCCTTCTTTGCCTGCATCTTGGCCAGCCACTCCATCTCGCACCGCGCGTACTCGATCCACAGCGTGCCCTCGGTCGTGCAGAAGCGGCACCCACGCATAAAGTAGCCTCGCGCGCCGCCCATGTCACCGTTGGACGCCGAGCGCCGGCCGGCAAAGATCCACAGGTCGGCGTCGGTGGGCATCATGCGGAGGGCGCTGGCCATGGTCCGACGCCAGCGCTTCGTGGCCTTGACATCGGCGGTGTATTTGAGGTACTCGAGCCACAAATCCTTTCTGCCCGGGTGTCTGCTGACTGCGCGATCGAAGATGGCGAGGACGCGCGACTGGGTGGTGTGCTGGGACGTGACGTGGCCAATCTTCATCCGCTTGCATCGTTTCTGGCGGAGGGACTCGAGGGACTGCTCCCATTTTGCGTAGGCGGTGAAGTCGTCGGGGTTGGAGCGGGGGGCGAGGATGCGGTGCTCGTAGTCGCTGCGCTTCTGCACGATTGTACGGATTTCATCCTGCCGAAGGTGTTAGAGAATACTGTGGTGCAAATGTTGGCAGTGACTGGGTGTGGTCAAGGAGGGGGGAGGGGTTATAGGTTAGATGGTGGCGTGCGTACCTTTGTGAAGATTTCCTTTTCCTCCCATTCGCGCAATTGAGGAACGGAACGCTCCAAGTAGAAGCGGGCCTTTTCAGCGACAGACATGATTGCAGCTGTGTACTATCGAAGGACGAGATCCGAGTCGGGTCGGGTCGAGTCGCCTGGCTGAGATGTGCTGCACAGATACTCTCTGCCTGACGCTGCAGATCAAGAAGAGGGAAAAACCAGTCCAGGAAAAAAAGTTGACAAGGCTGAGAAAGAAGACCAAAACTTTAAAGCGGGGCATCTGGCAAGGTGTGGCTCCCCTGGCCGAGAGTGGACTCTGAGTGGTCTGTGAAACTGTGGCTGGAGAAAAGAGTCCGAAGAGACGAAGAGACGGACATGACGGACTTCAGCCTTGTGCCAAGCTCCCCCTGTCGTGGTCGATCCCAATTGGGACTAACCCCCGACACCTTGAGGTACCTTGCTGTGTACATAGCTTTAACCCCGAAAGAGCTTGCCCTTGCGTGCATCAGCACCTTGCTGTACCCGTACGAATACACCAAGGTACCTATTGCAGGCCTCAGCGTCAGCACCAGCGGCAAGCTCAAAGCTCCGTCGTCTCCCGGTCGCGTGTTCCACGGGTGCCGCTTCTGTCATCTTCCCTGTCGGCGCCAAACATTTTGAACTGTTTACGTTCAACAACCTTACCAGAAAAGACTCCGTACCGTCACAGAAACCTTGCAACTTCTTCTCCAAAGACTCCACGGTCAGGGGCCGCACTGTTGCAAAACTCCCACGACACCCAACCACGCGATTCCCTTCGATCCAATCGATCCCCATCCGCGGGCCGCCGAGGCATGCTGGTTAATTAGTTGTGCAATTACCAGGCACAATTCTTTCTTATTTCCGCCCTTCTGTCGGCCCTCCCCCTCCATTCATCCTTCTAAGTTCTTTCCCCCCTCGTCAGCTTGTGTCATTGCCTCCCCGGATCCCCCGGATGAGCTTCTTTTCTCTTTGTTTTTGTCGTTTGAGCTGAGAGAGAGAAAGAGAGAGAAAGAGAGAGTGACCATCCCCCCGAGAGAGAGCTCCAGAGCAAGTAGAGGTTCGCAATGGCGTCAAGGTACAAAGACAAAGACGGCGGCGTCGCGCTGGTCTTCAATGGCCAATGGATCAGCTACCTACACACTGCTACAGCTTACAGTAAGTCTTTTTGCGCCCGGAGTTGTTGCCGCCGCTGGTCGCGATGCTGTCGCAGGGCAGGCACTTTTTGTGGTCGTACGACCATTCAGAAAGCTCCCAAAGCTGACTCTCCACGATAGCTGCCTTCATCAGCGCATTCATCGTAGGCGTCTCATTGCACTACCACAAGATTGTCCAAAATGAGTGGTACGGCTACCCCGACGAGTGGTTCCCCTCCGTTTCCGCGACAATTGGCGACCGTTACCCCGAGCGGTCCTTCTTCATGTTCTTCATCGCAATCACCTCGGGCCCGCGATTCGCACTCGTCGGATTGTGGTATCTCTTGACGCGGAGACCCGGACAGACACTGCCAAAGTTTACCCTGGCGATGGGCATTTTGCGCACATGCATGTGCGGTGGCTTCACCTACGTCACTTCGACCGACGACCACGACTGGCACGACATCTTCATGATCTCCTACATTGTCGCATCCCTCCCGTGGACAATTGGATGCGTCATGCTGAGCCCGCCGAACCCCCAGGCCATCAAGTACCGCAAGCTGATTGCCAGCTCCTTCTTTGGTACTCTGGTGCCCTTGATCTACTTCTTCATCCAGCACAAAGTCCACCGCGTGGCGGGAGGTAAGCTTTTCAGCCTCGGAGGGTTTGCGCACGAGCGCTGTAGCTAACCGCGCACAGCTTACACGATCTACGCCTTCTTCGAATGGGCCCTCATCCTCTTCGACGTTGCCTTTGACGCTGTGACGGCTCTCGACTTCAACACGTTCGAAGTGGTGATCAAGGATGTCAAGGGAGCAAGTAAGGGGTACGTCCAATGGCTCCCGAAATAGTCTTGTACATACTGTACAACAGGCACAAAAAATAGATCCAGTTGAAGAGCTCAATCTAAGTCTTGCTATAGTGAGAATCGGTCATCCGTCCCGTCCGCCGTGCTTGAGAAGCAGTAAGTTTTGTGGAATATCGTGATCAGAGGTGCAGCAGCTGACTTGCTTCAAGGAAGGAAAAGGCGAGCGCAAACCTGTTGACTGGCCGATTCACCTGGACCGAAGCTCTCGACACCGCCGCCGATGTCTACCACGGCTTCATCTTTTGGTCCATGTTGACCAGCTTGGGAGTCTTGGTTTGGTACTTCCCCCTATGGCACATGGGCATCTCTGGCTACGAGGCCTTTGTCATGTCAACCATCTTGCCTGCCATCTTGGGCATTCGCAGTGTTCGCTCCCTTGTCGTCAACAACCAGCGCGCTATCCACCTCGTCTCGCTGGTCGGACTGCTTGCTTACCAGGTTCTTGACCCTGCCTACCGTCTCTTCACCGTCGGCTTCGCCGTGGCTACGTCCTGCCTCGGCTGGACTGCTGCCTTCTGGTCCGAGAGAGCCCACCAGAGCCGTCTAGAATCCAGAATCATGGCCTGGACTCTTGGCCTCGTCGCCTCTTCTACGGCCAAGTTCATGTGGTGGACCAATAACCCGCTTTGGCCTGTTATGCACGCTGCCAATGGAGGATGGAACGCGACTGGCTTCGCCATTGCTGTTTTAGCTGCTCTGCGGTTCACTCGGAGGGCACCTCTTACTAGCGGCGATATCCCGGAAGACTCCAAGAAGGGTGGTTCCTCGGTCCTCGCTGCCTTTGGCGTTGGCGGCCTGTTCTTCGGTATTCACTCTTTGCTCTCAGATACCAGCACCATGATCCTCTGGGTTTGGGACGGCTACCCGATCCGGGGACCTACTGCCAACACCTACGGCTGGATGACTATTGTCGCAATGACTGCTGGTCTCTTGGTCGGCCTCTACCGTCCCTCTGTGATGAGCTCGTGGACCGCCTACGGCGTTGGCTGCGTCGGTGCGGCCGTCTTGACCTCATACCACCACTGGTTCGGGTACTATGGTGCTCTCACCACGGCCTTCTACCTAATGGGTCTGTCTGTGCCTTTCCTTTCTACCGCCGCCAAGAGAAGCCCTGGCACGACATTCGGTCTCGGATTCTTCATCTACAACTTCATGGTGCTGTTCCACGTCTGGGTCGTCGCCTACGCATTTGTCCCTGGTGGCCCCCTTGTTCGTGAGCACACTGATTGGGTCATGATGACCACATTCATCCTCATCGGAGCCGGTGTCTTCGGCCTCACCTCCTCGCAGGCCCGCCGCCGCGATACCCGCCGTGCATCCCCGTCGCAGCACAAGAAGTACAACACCATCGCAGCCGCCTTTATCAACATCGTCTTCCTGGCCGCCGCCTTCATGCGCTTCCCTACCAATGACTACAAGCCGTACCACCCTGAAGACCGCATCATGACGGCCGGTATCTGGACCATTCACTTCTCCCTCGACAATGACATGTGGTCTTCCGAGTACCGCATGCGCGACCTTATCAAGGAGCTCGAGCTGGACGTGGTAGGTCTGCTCGAATCCGACCTGCAGCGCATCATCATGGGCAACCGCGACACCACGCAATTCCTTGCCGAGGACCTTGGAATGTACGTCGACTACGGCCCAGGCCCCAACAAGCACACCTGGGGCTCCGCGCTGCTCTCCAAATTCCCGATTCTCAAGTCGACCCACCACCTGCTCCCCAGTCCCGTGGGCGAGCTCGCGCCCGCCATCGCCGCCACCCTCGACGTCTACGGCCAAGAGGTCGACGTCTTCGTGTTCCACTCCGGACAGGAAGAGGACCCCGAAGACCGCCGTCTGCAGACCGAGTATCTCTCCAAGCTCATGGGCGAATCAAAGAACCCCTCCGTCCTGCTGTCCTACCTCGTCACCAAGCCCTTACAAGGCAACTACAACACCTACGTCAGCAGCACATCCGGCATGCACGACGTCGACCCGACCGACTGGGACCGGTGGTGCGAGTACATCCTCTACAAGGGCCTCAAGCGCACTGGCTACGCGCGCGTCAGCCGCAGCACCATCACCGACACGGAGCTGCAGGTGGCCAAGTTTGTCATCCCGCAATCCAAGGACGAGGCGCTGCAGATTGAGGCGGTGGACGACAACACGCGGAATAAGCGCGTCACGGAGGAGGAGGTGCCGCAGGGCTGGCGGTTCCCGGCCATGTTCCGCGGCCAGGGCGTGCGGGATCACCGGTACCACGTCTTTAACGAGCCGAGGTACTACAATCATTGATTTATGGAAACGAAAACGAAGTTTATGGGGTAGGGATTGGATGAAGGGTTGTAATGTTGAATGTTTTCTTATGTTGGTGGCGGAGGTTGGGGGCGTATATACTTAATACAATGCGAGAACCTGTTCAATGAGCCTCTGAGTGTTTGGGTGTTTGGTATAAGAGTTGCTCCGAGGCACGTTTTTACCTTTTAAACCCGTCACCGCCGTTCCATCCTTCCGTTTCTCCGCTCCGCTGTTGACGGCTGGATCATGACTTTTCTCGAGCTCGTCCATCAAGCATACATCTTGGTTAGTGCCGTTCACAATGTCCTCTTCCTAACTCAATACCGCTTCTTTCAACCTTCCTACGACCTTAACACCGGCCTTTTATCCTTCCAGGCGTTGTCGTTAACGTATTCGTTCGACTCCTCCCCGACAAGGGTGAAGAGTAGTCATCTTCCTTTATGCATATAGGTACATTTGACCCTGAAGGTATTATAGACCCTTGAGAAATCATTTTATAACTTGATAGCACAGCCTTTGACCTGGAGACGGAACGACGTGAGTACTACGCGCCCATCTAACCAAGTTATCCAACCCAAACCCTTTCCCCATGAGATGCACGTTCTAGATTTCGGTCCATCTTAGACAAGGTCAACACACCATCGCGCTTCTGCCTGCCCGTGGGCTCATAAGGCCCCGTCGCTCTTTTAACATGGATAGTGTGTCCGCTACGAGAAATCTTGGCCTCCAATGTCGAGCCTTTGTAGCAGATATTACACACATTTGATTTCTCGGAAAGATGGACCGGCCTAGATGGCACATCGAGTCGGTCATTTCCGTTCAATATCTAGGAAGTTGTGGGTATTTGGATTCCCAGGGGGTGTGACCTCGATGGAATTCCGCCATGATGATATAAGAAGACCTGGGGCTGTGGATCCCCATGTTTCCTGTTGCCCATTACACGAGCAAGTAGGTTATAAAAGAATCCCCAGCACTATCGTCACAGCACAAAATTCACAGCCGTCTCGAATAGCGCCGTTCCTTGGAGATATCTCAGCAAGGCTGTTCATTAAGGTATTGATGTCACTCGAAACTGAAGTTGAAATGTCGGGTCGGGTTCTTCTGCATGAGCCAGAGATACTTTTACTTCTACCTTTTCTTGGTATATTACATTTAGAATACACTCGGAAAGGAGGCAGTCGATGGAGAAAGCTGTAGCTTGGGTATGAATTGTCTAAGTTAAAAGCCGGCGGAGTGGAAAACGCCAAGCTTCAACATCGAGACAACGACCTAGATGCTATGCTAGACGCTTGCCTCAACTCGGACAGAACTTCTGATATTGTTGCGGTGGCCCCAAAGCGTGTGGCTGTGGGAGTATAAGATATCTATAAAACTGCATTGCTATCAGGCACCTGCTCAAGCTGGGCGAGAAGCCCTGAGCTTGTTGTATATGTGTGTATCTATCTGTGTATCTCCGTGACTCAATAACATACCCAAACCCTCCTCCATCTCCCTAAGCGAGCTCACAACAACTCAACTCATCCCAAAGCCCTGAAGCCCTCAAGCCGTCGCCAAACGAGTTCACAAAACCGCGGACCTGGAGCGGAATTCCTCCCCCCCGCCATCCAGGTTTACCTTCTACCCCGTCTTCTCCGCAGGACCCGCAACGGTGACGGTGTAAAGCGGGGGAAGGAAGGGAACTCCACCGCCGAAAGCCGATCCCGTTTGGCTTTCTCTCACCGAAAGTTCCCCAATTTCTCCAAACTCTCGGGAAAGAAGAAATGTATCGGGAAAGGGACATTCGGGAAAGATGTAAGACAAGGTTTCAGGTGTCGGGAAAGAGAGGGGACGGAAAAGAGCCAGAGCGTACTAGAGCTCGGCAAAGAGAGGGCACTCTGAACAATGAGGTTGACCCTTACTTACCGCGCATGGAATGTGTAATCGCCTCGTCTCCGGTTGGCTCACATGCACACTTGCGAAACCTTGCTGCCGGGGGGGGAGGGGGGGGCGCGGTGGAGGAACGCTAAAATGCAAGATGGCGTTTTGGCAGCGTGGATTGGCGGGGGGGGAAGCTTGCCGGGTGGGTAATAGCAGATGCGAGATCTTGGGGTAGCACCGTAGGAGAATCGCCTATGGCTATCTACGGGCTGAGCGAGCCGCGGAAAGAAATGGGAACGAAAAAGTCTGGTGTAAGGCAGGTGTTGCGGCGTCACTAACAAGTCCATTCTCAACCTCCCTCTCTCTGTGTGTCCCCGCGAGTAGCCGCAGCGTTCCAACTCCCGCTTTCAAATGTCACCCGAAACAGGAAGGTTGGGCGGGCGCAAGCGTGATAAGACGGATCTGCGCCTTTGCCCGCCTCTTTTCTTACAGGCGCACCTAGGTCTAGGTACCGGTAGTAATCAATGCCAGGGTAGGTAAGAAGTGTTGCGCATGGGGACTGTGTCACTTGTTACAGCTGATATTGTGGCACATTCACAGTGCCTCGTACTCGTCCCGCCTATTGTCATTTCTCCAATTTTGTGTTGTCCATGGTGTAGTCAGTGCCCGCCCGGTCCTTGCGGCGTGGGGTAGAAGCGCACCGCCAGCGCCGTCTATTCCATTCCCGTCTTGGACCGTGGAAAGCCGATGGGCAGCAGCCGGGAAAGGGTTAGGGAAACGTGTAAGACAAATAAGAACAGAGGCATACCCTCCTTCTCGCCGGGAGACACGGATGAGACGTGAGGTGAGATTGCTGTGAAGAAAGGCCTGACTGCTGGAAAGACTTTATTGGAAAAAGAACGAACTGTGGTGTTTGGTTCACTACTATACCGATCTATATCATCGGCTCAGTGGGAGCTTTACTGCTGTGTGAGAGTCACTCAACACGAAGAGAGACGGCACCTTCTTGACATCGCCGTATCATTGAAACGAGAGGGAAAGGAACAGTGAATATGGAGACGAGTCATCTCTGGGCCTGGCTAGGCCTCGCCGCAGTGGGAGGCGTACTCTACGTAAGTTCTTCATCAATGGGTACCATTCACGCCAAGAGGCGGCTCTGTGAAAACCCCCCTCTGCGTCGGCAGGGAAATGAAAGGAATCCGATCTGACAAGTCAACGATGTAGGTCGCCGGTATCGTCGTGTACCGCGTCTTCTTCCATCCCCTGGCAAAGTACCCAGGACCGCTCATCGCAAAGGTCACGGATGGATACCAGCTCTACCACGCCTGGAATGGCGATAGACATCTCGACTTCTACAAGCTTCACAAGCAATATGGTACGTCACTTACTCGCCTTCAGCACGCTTCCCAATGCATTCCTCGTCCGCCCTGAAACCCGGCGGGAAGCATTGCCATAGAGAGCAGAAATGGCTGAGGGAGGAGATCGAGAAAAGAAGAAGAAGAAGAAGAAGAAGAAGAGAGCCACAGAGACAGTACCACTAACACCCTTGGAGGCAAAATCGTCCGCTTCGGCCCCAACTCAGTCTCTTTCAACTCCGCCACGGCCCTCAAGGAAATCTACGGCTTCCGCTCCAACGTCGGCAAGGCAGAGTTCTACAACGCCTTTGTCCACCCGGCGCCCAACACCCACAATGCTCGCGACAAGGACGTCCACGCCCGCAAGCGCCGTGTCCTCGCCCATGGCTTCTCCGACTCGGCCATGAAGGAGATGGAGCGCTACATCATCGGCAACGTGCGCTCCTTCACCGCCGAGATTGGCCGGGGCGCGTCCGCCGAGACAAAGGGCTGGTCGACGCCCAAGAATATGACGGACTGGTGTAACTACCTCGCCATGGATATCTTGGGAGACCTGTCGTTTGGGAAAGCGTTCCATATGCTCGAGGCGCCAGACAATCGGTTTGCGTTGGACTTGATCGCCGCGGCGACCAAGAGGCATCTTCTTGTGAGTAGCTGAAGTGCTAGGATGCGGATGTTGAGAGACATGTATACTGACGGATGCCAGTGCGGTACCATGCCTATCGTCGATAAGCTCAAGCTTGACAAACTCCTTTTCCCGACCATTGCGGCCGGGCGCGCGCGGTACATGGCCTACAGCAAGGCACAGTTGACGGAGCGGACGAAGCTCGGTGAAGATACGGACCGACGTGACTTCTTCTACTATCTCCTCAAGGCGCGCGATCCTGAGACGGGACTGGGCTTCTCAACGCCCGAGCTCTGGGGCGAGTCGAACCTGCTGTAAGTTCATACTGTTCCTAGCCAGTTTCGAGGCACGGCGTTGTAGGCCAAGACTAACACAAATTAGCATCATCGCCGGCGCCGACACCACATCAACAGCCATGGCAGCAACCCTCTTCTACCTCTCTCGCAACCCCGCGGCGCTTCAGCGCGCAACCGCCGAGATTCGCAGCAAGTTCTCCGAAGTCGAGGAAATCCGTCAAGGCGCGACAATCAACACATGCACCTACCTCCGCGCTTGCATTGACGAAGCGATGCGCCTGTCCCCCTCAGTCGGCGGGCTCCTCCCACGCGAGGTTCTCGCAGGCGGCATGACCATCGACGGTGCGCATATTCCCGCCGGGACCGTCGTCGGCACACCCCACTACACAATCCATCACAACGAGGACTACTTCCCCTCAGCGTACGACTATGTTCCCGAACGGTGGATTGTCGGCGCGGCGAACCCGCTGTTTGGGGGCAGAGAGACGACCGAGGCCGACACGGCGAGGGCGCAGAGCGCTTTTTGTCCGTTTTCGATTGGAGCCAGAGGGTGTATTGGCAAGGGGCTTGCGTATGCTGAGATGTCGACCGCATTGGCGAGGACATTGTTCTTGTACGACGTGCGCAAGGCGGTGGGCGTTCTTGATCCGGCTGAGGGTCGCGCAGATTTGGATGAGGGCCGGAGGCGGGTCTCGGAGATGCAGCTGTATGACACATTTACGAGTATGAAGGATGGGCCATTGTTGGAGTTCAGGGCAAGGGCGTGAGAGTGATGCCGAAGAGGTTTACGGCGTTGTTTCTACCGAGTATGGCTCAGTTGAAGCTGGGGTCAGACAATCCCCATTGCTTCACCTTTGAAGCTGCGAGTTCGTGAAGGTGTCGTCATCAAGCGTCGAGAGAGTTTCTTAGCACGTGTCAATTGATCCTCTTGCATTATGATTACCAATAATGGCAGAGCATTCATCTCCTCGTTCCAAGGTACAGCGGTGGAGTCAGATGCTGGTAAGAGCTCCTCGTGAGAACTTGTGCGTCCGAACTTGCGCGCCATTCAGATCGTTCGAAAGCTCTCCCCGCTTGTCTGTTTCCCCAACTGCCACATTTAGTCTTTGTGGTCCGGCTCTTGATCGGCAGCGGGCATTTCCTCGTCAGGCGCGTCGTCTCCACTATTGTCCGTTTTCTTTCGTATTTTTCCAGACTTTCTTTCGTTCGGCTGCCGGGGATCACGGAGCCGGGTTGCGGTGAAAGCTCTCTTCTCCACTCCCATGCAACGTCAACCACCCAAACTAGTATCTTGTGATCGCGCAGACCCGGCCGATTTGGGGATGCTTGGGCCGTTAAACGGTTCGATGAAGAGAGGGGATCGGAGTGTGGGGAATACCAGCACTAAGATAATCAGAGCTGGGGAGCCGGGATCCGTCGTTTTCCCCATCGGCATATTCGACAAGCGATGCGGGGGCGGGACGCAAGAATCTCTCCAGACTTCAGCTTGTCTTGGGAACAAGCGGGAGCCCATCTTACGCCGTCCGGCACAACCTTGCTGTCCCTGGCGATAATCATCGCCTGACTCCCTAGCGTCTACTCAATGGTCAATCTTGGACCCTTGGCTTCCATCCCCGAGAGTATGTCTGTCCCGGCTGTGCTCGTCTTCTCGGGCGAAGGCCGCCCCCGAGGTTCGTCGCTACCCTGCCAATCTGGGATCATGACCTGAGGGAAGACCCGAGAGATGCCCCGCTGCGGGCTGGGGGACGTGGTCGAAGACTAGTCATGGCAATGGCGACCGTTGATTCAAGGAACGTTGCACCCTCCCAAGACCAGGCTACTACCGCCAACGCTCGTGATGTCAGTGTCGCGTTCCTGGCCTGGCTGCAGGTCCCGCTCTCGGTCCGTGGGATGAGGTAGCAACGGCGAGTGCTCGATTGGAGCGGGAACGCCCCCGAGCTGCATGCTGTGTGAACTTTTGGGGTCGTATAAGATCCCAATGGCTCCCGCAAGATGATGCCATTGCGACCTTCTCTGTAGTGATAGCTCCCATCTCAGACGCGTCGGTTTCTCAGTTGAAACTGCCCGACATTATGAAGTTCTTCACCTCCCTCCTGGCCGTCGCCAGCTCCGTCGCGCCCCTTTGCGCCGCCCTTCCCCAGGCCAGACAGACGAGCTGGCCCAATGGCCCGCTTGTGACGGACGGTCGCTGGGCGGTAGATGCTGCTGGCAACCACATCCAGTTCGCCGGCACCAACTGGCCTGGCCATGGCGAGGTTATGGTCCCGGAGGGTCTGCAGTTTCTCTCCGTCGAGGGTGTCGTGTCCAAGATCAAGAGCATCGGCATGAACGCCATCCGCCTGACCTACGCCATTGAGCTCGTCGACCAAATCTACGCCAACGACGGCAAGGACATTGACATCAAGACGGCCTTCATCAACGGTCTCGGTGAGACCAACGGTACTGCCGTCCTCGCTCAGGTCCTGGCTAACAACCCTACCTTCACGGAGGCGACCACCCGTCTCGAGGTAAGTTTTTGGGCGCTCCACCTTTTTGTGCCGCTTGAAATTTGACATCCGCTAATACACGACCGTAAAGGTGTACGATGCCATTGCTGCCGAGTGCGCTAAGCAGGAAGTCTACATCCTCCTCGATAACCACATGTCCACCGGCAAGTGGTGCTGCTCCGGAAACGACGGCAACACTTGGTGGGGAGACCGCGAGTTCGATGCCGCCAAGTGGGTGCGCGGCCTGACCTACATGGCCAACCATGTAAGTGAATCGAAAGAAGGCAGAATGCTGCGGAGCACAAGCTGATAAACATTGCTAGGGAAAATCATGGACTGCCCTTGTTGCCATGTCCCTCCGCAACGAACTTCGTGAGGCCACGGACAACGCCGAGCTGGTGGCTGCTTCATACAACTGGCAGGATTGGTACAAGTACATCCAGGACGGCACCAATGCCATTAACGACGCCAACCCCGGGCTTCTCATCTTCCTCTCCGGCCTCAACTACGACACTACGGTCGCGCCCGTCTTCCGCGGTACGGCGCTGACGCCCGGCAACGGCACGTTCCAGCTCTCTGACTTCGAGGGATACGCCGACAAGCTCGTTCTCGAGATCCACAACTACGAGGGCTCTATAGGCAGCTGCGCGAGTTTGAGCAACAACCTGTATACCAAGGGCTTCCAGGCCATGAATGCTTCGGACCCTGTGACAGTCAATGTCTTCCCCGTAGCGCTGACCGAGTTTGGCTTCAACATGAACGACAACACATACCTCAACACCTACTCGACGTGCCTGGCATCCTACTTGCCCCAGATCCAGGGCAGCTTCTTCATTTGGGTTCTGGTGGGTAGCTACTACATCCGCCAGGGAACGCAGAACTTTGAGGAATCGTGGGGCCTGTTGAACGCGGACTGGTCTGAATGGAGGAACCCCAACTATGTTGAGCAGCAGCTGACGCCCATGGTTGCCGGTGTCATTGGATAGATGGATTCCATAAAATAGCCGTGACCGATTGGAAGTAATGAAACCATGATCTCAATTTTTGATTTGCCATTGTATATGTGACTCATATAAATAAGATTGTGGCGTCGACGAGCTGGAATGGCTGAGTATCTACAAAAGCTGGGCAAATAAGTGCCAGGCTCTCAATTCCTGGTTGTTGATTGAATCAATATTCGGCGGGACAAAATGATAAAATCCAAAAGAAGGGGGCTTCCAGAATCCTCTTGGATGGTATAAGAGGTTCCGAGTAATATTGATTCGGTAGAATATATGTGTTCAAATGATCCTGGAGAGAGTAGAGAGATGATTGAATATTCGTGGTGTAAGTGCAGTTGTTTGGGCCAGACGACGCAAGGACAGTGTTTGCGCTCTGCGCACAGCTTACGCACAGTACGGAATTCCCATTGGCTCATCACGGCGCGCTAGGGGCACGCACCGGCAAGGCTGAGAAAGGCTGCCACCGATTTCTTTCTCGACGCCCAATCTCCGAGCTCTTTCGAGATCACAAGAGCTTAATCCTTTGTCACCCGTCGAATACCTGGCCAATCTCGAGCTCTCGATACCTACGAAATGACATAGCCGCTGTCACCAAGTCATTTGCACTGCGAAATCGCCCAAATAACAACCAGAATGGTAGTCTGCAAGTTCTACGAGCAGGGGAACTGCAGGTACGGACGTACGTCATTCGCTGCGCACCCATCACTACTCCCTTGAGGGGTCTCAATCGCAAACTCGGATCGAAGAGGCTAATATATGATATCACAGAGAATTGCCGATTCGAGCACCCACGGTCGCAAAACAACAACCGCTTCGCAGCCTTTGGCCAAAACACGGGAGGAGGATTCAACCGAGGCGGCAACAACAATGATGGTTCGTCTAGCAACTGCGGCTCCTAGGAGTCTTCAACGACTTATTTTATACTCACATGGAACCAGGGCTACCGTATTCACTATCAAAGGAGGCCATTGAGAAGGATCTGACATCGGAAGCGCCACAATGGATCTTGTCCGCTTATGGCCCCGGCAGGGATGCTCCGGAACAGCTTTTCGGAGGCAACTTGCGCGAGCAGAGTTTTGAGGAGATGAGACTCGTTCACATGATGGCTGAAGCCTCTGGGAATCCTCAGCAAGCTGTAAGTCCCCTTACATAGGTCTACAGATCCGTTAGCTGACAGACCCCCAAGCTCAATCAAGCACAAGAGCTATACCAGCAAGCCCAGCAACAAATGAAGACGGCGGTGGGCAACCTTGACGGAGCTATTCAGTTCATCATTTCCGCCGAGCAAACGCACCCCAACAGGATAGACATTTGCAAGCAAGGCACGTTGCCAGGCGGAACTACAGGGGAGTTTGCGGTTGGAAGACGGGCCGCCTCTTCACAGCAGAACCCTTTTTCGTCAAACTCAACTCCAGCGACATCAAACCCATTCTCTTCTAACAACACGAACACAACTTCTGCCTTTGGTGGCGGTGGTGGAGCTTCAACGGGGAGCGCTTTTGGCCAGACTGCGACCCTGGGGCAACGTGCGAATCCCTTTGGCACGCCAGCTTTTGGTCAAACATCGCAGCCATCGCAGCCGACTTCAGCATTCGGTCAACCATCACAACCTGCGTCTGCCTTTGGTGGCGCGAGTAGCTCAGCACCGGCCTTTGGCCAGACGTCGCAACCTACATCCGCCTTTGGACAACCCAGCGCGCTGGGAGGCGGCACATCGGCTTTTGGCCAGGCCTCAGCCCTGGGACAGAAGCCCAATCCCTTTGGCGCGCCTGCGTTCGGGCAGCCAGCACAACCGGCAGCGGGAGCGGGTGGCAGTGCCTTTGGTCAACCATCTCAACTTGGCGGAGGCGGCAGCGCGTTTGGCCAAGCAAGTGCTCTCGGACAGAAGCCGAACCCTTTTGGAGGCGCGACGAGCGGTGCCAGCCCATTTGCCAGCGCTGGAGGCGGCGGCGGCAACACACCCAGTCCATTTGGTCAGGCTTCGCAGAACACTGCCAGTCCCAGCCCCTTTGGACAGCCCGCGCAAAATACGACACAAAATGCTAACCCTTTCGGGGCTCCAGCCCAGACGAACCCAAGTCCGTTTGGTCAGCCAGCACAGCCTGCGACAACAAGCGCGTTTGGGCAGCCGGCGCAGACTGCATCTTCCAATCCCTTCGGCCAGCCGTCTCAGGCGCAACCGGCGGCGAGCAACCCCTTTGGAGCGAAACCCGGTGCGCAGCCCAGCGCCTTCGGCCAGCCGGCAGCGACTGCTCAACCAACACAGCCCACGCAGCCTGCCAGCGGGTTCGGACAACCAGCTCAGCTCGGCCAGAAAACGAACCCTTTTGGACAGAACAATGCGTCTCCGTTCAGCCAGCCGTCCGGTGGCCTCGGAGCGGGTGGATCAGCGCCGAACCCATTCGGAAGCCAGACCGCTGCACCGGCTGCACCCGCCGCGCAACAAGCGGCGGCGCCTGGGAGCGGACCGTACCCGCCGGGGAGCTCGAGACAACATCCGCCCGTGTCGAGCTACAGCTCGAAGGATATGAACGGGCGGCTGTCCAGCTGGAAGGGCAAGCCCGTCACCTACCAGGGCAACTTGCCTGGCATTCGAGCCTTCAACGGCGCGTGGACGAGGATATGGTTCCCGGATGGTCCGCCAAACTACTACAAGGATACTGAACTACCCGATGAGTTATATGACGACAAGTCGAAGCAGCAGTGGCAGTCGTTTACGCAGACGGGCAAGTTTGAGGGTCTTATGCCCGAGTTGCCTCCCAAGAGGGAATTCTGTCTTTGGGATCTGTAAGGGGGGTGGACGGAAACATAAGAGACGAGGCAAGGACCGAAGACGGTCTATCTGTATTTGTGTAAATGGGGCTGGCATTACACGGCGTTGATTTCAAAAAGGATCAATTGGTAACCAAGGGTTGGGTATCTGGCTGGGCATGTGATATTATGGTGCTTACACTGCACTCTAGGTAGTTGGGGGCAAGTTACCAAACATTGAGGATTTTCCTCAACATCCCGACTGTCTCAATTCCTTGTGACCGCCGCCTTCGACTTCTCATCCGACATGACCCGGATCACAGTCAATATTCCAATTGGGCCTCATGCACATTCACACGACACATCACTGACGAAGTACATTAATTGGGGGGGGGGGGTCATCAGTTGATTCGGGTGGTATCTAGACCGCCTCACTCGTCCCGCCGCCTTTGCATATGTGCGCCGAGGTCCAAAACCTTTCGGCCATCCCTCGTCGTGGGCTTAGCAACGCAGCATTCCCAAGTCCGAAGCCCATACCGTTGCGTCCCTCTTACAACAAAAACTCGTCTTTACAACATTTTTTTCGGGGCGTGGTTTCCTATCGCTTATGCGGCAATGGTGACCTCGACCTCGACACCGGCCTCGATGTTGATGATGATCTGCTTGACAATCTCGGTGGGGGCGTTGAGGCTGTTCACGGTTAGCACTCCCTGTTCGACCAATCTTGGTGCGACTGCGGAAGTAAACTCACTCAATGAGACGCTTGTGGATGCGCATCTCGAAGCAATCCCAGGTCTTGGAACCCTCACCGCAAGGGGTCTTGCGGGTGGTGACCTTGAGGGTCTTGGTGGGCAGGCGGACGGGGCCGGAGACGCGGAGGTCCTTTGACTTGGCGCGCTCAATGAGCTCGGCGCTGACCTTCTCGAGGGACTGGACCTTGCGGGAGGAGAGGGTGATGCGGATCTTGTGCGTCTTGGGCGCCTCGCCGAAGTCCTTGTCCTTGTTGTAAGACATTTTGAAGTGTTGTTGTTCGGTGAACGGGGTGGGAGTTGGTTGGTAGGTTAGGGAGAGATTGATTCCTTCACGACTCGAACGGCTTGGTTGCGGCAAAGTGATGAAGGCTGATGATCTTTAGGCTATCGGAAAGCTTGCAGATGGAAGGAATTGCGATCGCGAACTTTTTTTCGTGGGGTTTGGAAAGTAGGGCTTTACCGAGTGGTGTGACTAAGCCTAGGTAGGTCTAGTGCAAAAGTGGGATGTCGAAAAAAAGAGACGTACTTTTTGAGCTGACCATTTGCGGCGGCAAGAAGCAAACAGGCACAAGAGAAAGAACGAAACCCCACCAGTGAGGTATCCACTTCCGCATTCGCAGCTCCGCCGAAAGCTCACTGCATGGCCCGGCTGGGGAGAGGCACCGACGTCAATGAATGAATCATCCGGCGAGACCTGAGAGAACGACATCTCACGGCTAGCCGCCTCACTTCACCTCATCGCCACCTCAAAATTCATTGTCAAAACTCTCCAGATGCGCATTAACCACTAGAAGACGAGCTCTCCGTAAGAGCATCTTGCTACTCTTGCATCTTGCGAAAGGATCCCTCATTTCTGAGAGCATCTTACCCCGCCAGTTCTAGCGCACATCTCACATTGGCATTGGATCTCACTCACCATCTCACGAAACCTAGAGCTCCAACAATCATGGCAACCTCCCTACCGCCCCTAGCCCCCTTCCCCACGCCATCATGGCGCGCAAAACTCACAACCCAAGAATGGGAAGCCCTCCTCGAAGCCTGGACAACCCTCACACAAGCCTACCTCGCCCTCCCAGATAAAGATCTCTCCCGCGCCGCCGCAAAAGAAGACGCCTCCATCCCAGCGTTCCTCGCCTCCTTCACAACACAAGTCGCCGAAGCAGGACCCTCACCCCTCCTAGGATCTTCTTCTTCCACAACATCAAAGGCCCTGCTGAGGTCGGCATTCACGCTCACATCCCGCCTCCTCACAAACCCGACAACACCACCGCCAACACCCCTAACAACGGCCCCCTTCCTCTGCGCCTTTTCAAAACTCTACCGCAAAAATGCGCCCGCCACCCTCTCAAAGGCCTTCCACCTCCACGCCAGCGCCCTCGAGCACCCCCTAGCAGGTCTGAAAAAGTCCCTCGCGCAATCAATGGAAGCAGGTCTCAAAGCAGACCTCAAATCCCTCGAGGCTCGCCTCGCGAACCTGAACCATCTACTCCACGCCTCCCCTCACGCAGCAGCCTTCTTCCTCGCCGGCTCAGACTTCTTCGACGGCCTGGTCACGGCCTTCAAGATTACGAACCCGCCGCTGCGCAAGGTCCTCGTCGCGACGATGTACCTCTGCCTCATAGGCCTGACAGAGGGCGAGCAGCCTCGCTTCGGGATGCTGGCTGACGTGCTGTTCTCCCTAAAGTCCGCTGCTGAGACGCATAGGGTTGGCCCGTTGAATGTGAACGACTCCCTTGTGGCAGAGCTGGTCACCGTCACGCCGGTGCTGAAACAGCTGTCCAAGAGGGCCGAGGAGAAGGGCGCGGCATCGACGGCGTTGAAGTCGCGCATTTCGGCGCTGGAGGGATTCAAGAAGCCTGGCGGCGGAATGATGCGGCCAAAGAGGCTCGTCAAGCGAAAGGTTGACAAAGGCAAAGGGAAAGATGTCGCGGAAGAGGGACAGGTTCAGGCGGAATTGCACATCCACCGGCAGAGTCAGATTTCACTCATTCAAGATTTGTTTCCTGATCTAGGGTCAGGGTTTATCTCGAAGCTGTTTGACGAATACGGCGACAATACGGAAATTGTCACGGCTCATTTACTAGAGGACTCGTTGCCTCCGCACCTCGCGGCGATGGACCGCTCTGCTCCGTTGTATGTATTCTCTGTTTCTTTACTTGACTATGGTGAGGCTAACGATATCACCAGATCCCCCACGTTGGAAAGAAGGAAAAGCCAGCTTGAACCCAGGCCAACGCCACCGCAATTACCTGAACGCCACAATGTGTTTGACGACGATGAACTCGACAGACTGGAGCTGGACGTTTCCAAGCTCCACTTTGGAAAGAAGGGACCCGAAAAGACAGCCGACGACGTGCTCAAGGACAGATCGACTGCACCGAACAAGGCGGCCATCTTATCAGCACTCGCCGCATTCGACTCGGACGACGACGAACGTGACGACACCTACGACGCAGACGATGTTGGAGGCACGGTCGACAACGCCAATGAAGAGGCCGACGGCCAGAAAGATGCTAGCGAAGAAACACTGTACGAGGCCTTCCAAGCCGACCCCAGTGTATTTGATAGGCAGGCTACGACAAGGAGAGGCCAGGCGAGAGGAAAGCTGAGGGAAGAGACGGGCATGACGGATGAGGCCATTGAGGGCTGGGCAGTGATGTTGGTGAGGAACCCAGGTCAGAAGCGACGGCTTGAAGCCAAGTACAGCGGCGCTGCCGCGTTCACTGGTACCCAGACCGAGATTCTGTCAACGGCATGGCGAGCTAATCCGGCTGGCTCTGGCGCCGAGGATTCTGAGAATGGTGGTGGCAGCTCCTCACGGGGTGGTGGAGGCGGCCGTGGACGAGGTCGTGGACGCGGTGGAAGAGGGGGCGGAGGCCGTGGAGGCGGTAATGTGGCCGGTCCCACTGGTGAAAAGGAGACTGAGGCCGCGCGGAGGAGAAAGGAAGCAAGCAAAAGCTCCCGCGCGAATCACAACCGCCGCGATCAAAGAGCCAAGAAGATGGCGAGAGGTGGTTTCCCCGGCTAGTGTCTGATGTCTCACTCGGCCTCGGAATAGCACCATCAATGAAACCTTTGCCTCTTGGTATTCTGACTTGAACTTCGCGCCAATGGAACTGCGGCTGCTCGTTTGCTAGAGCCGCATTCTGTCGTCCTCGTGAAGTCGTCTCCGTAGAGATCCTCTGCGCTCAGGGTCAGGGCGTACGGGCTTTTGACATCTACGATGCCTGGGGTACCAGGTTGTGGCGTGAAGGAGAATGGATGAGCGGCTGAGGGTGACATGATGCTGGTGAACGAGGAGCCGAGTTCCTCGAAGCCAGAATTCCGGGCCCAGAGTGCGTGGTCCTTTGGTGTCGCCAGCTCTGATGTTCCACCAATCGACGTCAAGTCTCCGTGATCGCCTTCGTTGTGTCCGATCATGGACCGGAGTGAGTCGCGGGAACTCCGTCGGCTGTCGAGGTAAGTTCGTAGGTCATAGCATTGCCGACAAGTGGGGTAGACTGGATAACACTCCGATTCATCCCGGTACTGCGGGAGCTGAGGTCGACCTTGCTCGCCACATTTCTCCTGAATATCGTCAAATAGATCGCCAATGGGAGTAAAATACGCCAGGCGAGGACCGCTACCCCAGTATCTGTTGCGGCCCCAAAGCTGGCCGACCAAGGCATTAGTCTCGGCGTCGACAATGGCAGCGCCGCTGTCGCCCTCCACGCCTATGCCTCCACGGATCCACCCTTCTTCATCGTCGTAGGGAAACGGCTCTTCGATATACCACTCGCGCGTGGCTCTGCCAGTCCCGTTCATCTCGGCGCTGATGTACTCGGGGATGTCACAAACCTCCCCCCTTTGCTGGCCAGATGTTCGACCCGTCGATATCACTGACGCCCCCGGCACAACAGCGCTTGTTCTCTTGACTGGGGTCTCCTTGAGAAGAGGCATGGTCTCCGAGGGGAATCGGCGGAGGATATTTGCTTGACTTGTCTTGGAGGCTATGAGAGCCCAATCAGTCGCGACAAGAGGGGGCTCTTTGTCGCAGTCTTCCCAGTAGGGATGATGGGAAATGCGAGTTGTCTTCAGGTCGAGTCCCGATGTGGCGGTGAGGCTACCTAGAGCAAAGTCTGTCTCAGGCAGCGTATCGTGCCTTTCTTCAATACAACGGGCCCGGTCATTGGGGGATGGGTGTTGAACGTTGACCGATTTTGAGTTCTGGTATGCCTCCACGAAGGGGTGGAAGTTGGCAAGCCAGTAGCTGCCGCCACCGATGAGCAGACAGGGCCCCAATGTTGACGTGCTTTCCTCGAACTCTGCACCGCCTTCGATACCAATACTGTCACCCATGCACGGATCTTTGAAGTAGTATGGGTTCTTGGCCATGCAGATATCATCGGGCATCTCCTTGCTCAACCCTCTCGCCCAGACACAAGGGACAATGGAGCCCTTGACGAAGAGGAACTTGACGCCGTCTCGATGACTCTCGGGTAAAAGGTCTCTAACGTGTGCTGCAATGATGATCTTGCGAGCTCGCGAGGGCAACTCGCCATCGATCATAATGCGGATTTGCCGCGTGCCCGGTGTCTTACCGCGAGGGGCGGCGAGGCCATGCTTGGGGCCGCACCACTTTGGGATGAACTCGGAGAGAAATGGTAGAACTGCATGCTCCCACACTATTTCGAACCTCGCGTTGTTGAGTAGTTGTGACAAGCGAGGCCGGGGCAAGTCGCTTGGGCTGTCGGCTGCGAGAGGAGTTTGGCCTGCCAATGTCAGACTAGCGGCCCTGTAACTTGGAGCTGGGATCAGTCACCTTTGTCTGCTCTTTCTCTTCTATACTTCCTCTCGACAACATCCCTCAGCTTTTCTCGGCACTTCTTCTTGGATACCGCGACGGACAGTATCTGCTTCAAAGCCCGTTCCTCCAGGCTGTCTTTCTGGGATGGTCCTCGGATACTGCTAGTATTGTGAGACAAGGATGGCGTAGCCATGGTCTGGGCGAGAGGATTTGGCATCGAACGTGTCTTCTTCGATTTCCCCTTGTAATTGTCCTCGGTATCTGGATGAGCACATCTTAAATGACTCTCGAGGATCTGTTTGGTTTGGAACGAGCTCTCGGTACATCCGGGGGCCGGGCAGACGAGGAGGTGCTCCAGCTTGACGTGCCAGGTGAGACCGTCCTTTGAAGAAAAGACGGGTTGTTCGCAGCCTCCCCAGTTGCAGGCGTAAGTGTGGACCGCCTTGAAATGGAAGGCCAAGTCTTTTTCTTGGTCAAAGGTTTCGTCGCATTGGTGACCCAAGCAAATAAAGCGGCTTTGAGCTCTGACGGTAGAAGCGGTAGAATCAGTAGACCTATCAGCGGCACCTTGAGTGGTGGAATGGTTTGTCGAGGCAGTCCTTGTAGTCGGCCATTCATACGGAAAATCAATCTGTGTGGGTGATACACCGGAGCCAGCAGATGAAGGCTGGGAGACAATGGAAGAGGAAGAATATGTGACGCTGGACATTGTGCTCAATGCTGGGGGAGGAGGCGCCTGGGTAAGTAACGAGGTAGGCTGGAAGATGGTGAACGCAAATGGATCGCCAATGGGCAAAGCCTTCCCGAGCCTCTGGTCTACTTGACCAATTCCATGGCTCTGGGACCAGACGTTGTCGCCGTAAATGGAGGGCCCATGGCAGAAGTCCGTGAAGGAAGAGTCCTCGGCAGGCGTCCAGTAGGGCGGAATCGAGGCAAAGTTGTCAGCATCTGATGGGGCGACGCCTGCAGCGAACAAAGCTCCTTGAGAGGGAGGCGACTGCCGTCGAATCCTCTTCGCCGGTGGCAAGGTGAATGGCTCTCGAGGAAGAGGCATGGTGAGAGATGACTTGGTGGTGTCGTCTACGGTTGACTTACACCGGCCGCCGAGCCAGCGGATATTATGAATGGACCGCGAAGGATGGTCTCAACCAAAGTCAATTCATAGACATTTGATGTTTGACTTCGTTATAAGGCAGAAAGATAGAATGGAGAGAGAGCAATAAAGTGGCGGGCGGGCGAGAAGGAGGCAAGCGGCCTCCAAGAGGCGGCGGCAGGCGGGTGCGGCACAGCTCTTAGTCTGGTTGCCTGATCTGACTTCCGCCCTTTGCTCGCCGATTGGCACTGTATGTTGTGTCCAATCATCGCCTGAATAACAGTGCCAAACAAGTCACATACTATGTGGATCACATCACCCCTCCCTCTCACTCTCACTCTCACTCTCACTCCCATTGAAGCTGGCGAACCACCTCATTCACCATCGCTGAATGTTGTTCATGTGTATTATTCATCACCAGAACACCAGATGCTAGAGAACTATATGAGAATTCCTATTCCTATGAGAAACCGTGGCAAGTAAAATCTTCCAATCGGGTCTCATGCAACCGGCTGCCAGAAGTCCCACTTTCTCAGTACCCAAGCCGACGATGCATCGATTAAGGCTCCGAAAGAGACCAAGGTCTCGACAGCGCCGGAGTGCTGTCTTCTTGTAAAAACTCATGAAACCCTGAATCAAGGTTCAGACAACCCCAGAATGTGTAGATTGGCTCGCTCAATGCACACCCGGCTCATGTCTTCTCAGGTCCTCCGCGTCACGGGCTCCTCACCTCTTGATCTGCAGATGGATTCGCATAGTCAACAACCACGAGCGCATTCAAACTACAAAAGCGAAAGAGAATACTCCATTTTTCTACACAAGAGATCTGAATAAAACCACCCTGCCCAAGCTAGCTGGTTCCCCAGATCCTGGTTTCGCCCCATGCCCCTCTGCGCTCCTCATCTTGAATGAAAGTAGGTCATTGCCTGACTTCTACGTTGATTGCATCGGTTGAGATGAAACTTCAATTGATCTCAAGGCGCCTCCACTAGCTTCATGATCTGAACGCTTCAAGATGAAGGGTGAATTGAGTTGGTCATGTAACATCACTTAGCCCATCGAATATCCCTGATTCCCTCTGAGCTCTTGTCAACTTACCGTCGTCTGGCTAGAGCTCTCATCTCAAAGCCTTCGTGTAGTATTTGAACAATGGAGGGCTTCTGTGAGCTTGACTTAACGATCTCTGGGTGCTCGGCGTTGAAGCTCAGCCTTCACTTCGCCATTCGATAAGACTCATGTAAGGCAGTTTAGCCCCACCTACTCCCGAGTCCCGCAACTCGAAATATGAGCCAAGATGTAGGAATAATCCTCACTTGAAGAAGTGATCTCACGAAGCCCGGAGTCTGGACCCTTTATTCACCTCCGACTCCTCACCCAAATCCCACTCTCGGAGCTCGGAGCATCACCGATAGTGACCAACCATGGTAACATCGGCCCTCCGAGTTGAGCTTATTTTACCACAGGGCTAAGCGAATCGGGGCAAATCTCCACGGCCTCCCACCCATCCCACCGCAACATGCAGACAACACGAAAGTTTCCATCTCACAAAGCCCTTAGCAATGGCTGCAATGTATGGTGCCTGCATCCCGAGCTCCACAAAGATTGATTAGATGAGCTGATAAAGTTCGCACCCCCGGCCTTCCAACGAGTGAGCCTTTTTCAACGACCTGCCGCTTTCGGGAATACGGGCAGAAAGTCAAGGGAAACACGTTGCCTGCCAAGTCCTCGGAGTTACATCCGCCTTCACGACCCTGAAGTTTTGCCGTTGCGTTCCGGTTATCGGTTGACTGGCCCATAAAACTGTAATTAATAGGCAATTTGGTTGATCATTGTGGTCTTGGATCTAATGGGTGCGGTTCCAGCTCGTATCGTGGGACCCTGTCGCTACTTCAAAATTCCATCCCGTATTGCGAGATCGTGAAAGATGCCGAATTGGATAAATAGAAGGGGATGGGTCCTTTGGGGGCCTTGATCTAGAAGAGGAACTCAAGCAACAGCTCTCGTTTGCTTGTCCTTCGTTAGACTCCGAGATCGATTGTCAACTTGCCGATCTTAGTCAAGCTCGCTATAATGGCTCGGGTTTCCGGAATCCTCCAAGCGGCTCTCGTCGCAGCCGCCGCCGTCTCACCGGCCACGGCAGCCGAGGGTG